CACATCAGGTCTTGTACCACTTTATTGTTACCTGCTATACAAGCCTCCCTTGGGAATTCATTAGGGATGCTGCACTAAAAACACACCTGACACTAAATCAAAGCAGTGAAAACTTAGTACATGCCATCCTTTCACCCAGGCCAAAGACAAACACTCTACCATTCCCACTTCTACTTACAGCACATGCCACACAGCCAATCACAGCCACACTCTGACCAGGTCCCCTTGCTCCCCAGGCCAGTATTTTTGTGGATACTAGGTAAAGCAGTTCAATTTAGGTTTAGGAGAACTGGAAAGATGGCATCCATAGGGGATACATTTCAAATTAGGGTGCCTGTGGTCTGTGGAATACAGCAGCTGTTGGGCTGGAAGGAGTGCGCCTGCGGATGGAGATGGTATGTCCCATTATGTGAGTTGGCTTCTCAGTCCCTTGCCTTTGTGATTTAAGGCTGTTGCCCATTCAATGAACTCAGCATCAGCTGCTTCACAAACAGTTCAGCCTCCTTGGAGAGTACTTCCTATCCCACAAAACTGCAGTCAGGAACCTGGGAAAGTTCTCCCCCAAGCTGTGCAGCATGCAAGCAGTTACAAAGAGTGATACCTGACACAAGGTAAACTCATCAGATGGCTGACTGAGGCCATTCTGTCTATTACATACAATCATCTTAAGGGCAGGGTAACATGTGACAGAAAAAGTAGCTGTCTGTGAAGACTGTGTGTCCAATAGCCAACTACTGTGCAAATGCTTGGTATAAGTAAATAAACCTTAATTTAAAAAAAATGCTGCACCAGATCTATTCAAGGTTCATCGTTAAAAGATGTGAGTGGACACAAAAGCAGACTGCTAGAAAAAAGTGTTAGGCAGAAAGATACAAAAAATTTTCACTTGTAATGTGGAAAAATAAACTAACAAGTTGCATAGAAAAATTCAAAAGATGGAAAACCTACTCTAACATAACATTTCAAACGGAAAGACACAAGCTCACAAAACTCAAGTTGTGGCCCATTTTACATCCATCTCAAAATGTAACCATATCCGCTACCTCTACAAGATCTGTGTCTTATATAAGGGCAATGGCAGATGTTGGTAATATACCTCCCAGTTAATAGTATAATCACTGGAAACCCCAAAGAATTATTCCAGTTCTATTCTATATTTGAAGATAGACTGGAACTCCCCCCATGAGCACCTGGTTTATCTTCATCAGGCAGGTGCGTTACCATAGCAACAAGGAGCCCTAGTCACATACCAGGAACCGCATGGCATTCAGTGATGTACATGCATAAAATAGTGAGGCAGTCCCAAGGGATAAGCAATCCTTTCCTTGATAACTCACCTGCTGGACAGCAGCCAGGCTGTGGAGTTGGGCAGTGTTAAGCTGCTGCTGGAGCATAAACTGGTGGAAGTACTGGGCTGCATTGGGTTGTCTCTGCAGGGCCTGAAGGGCCTGGAGAAAGGAAAAACTTTCAAAAAGAGACCCCCACTTCCATAAAGTGTGTCCACAGGGTGCAGTCCAAGACACTAAAGGATCTAAAGAACTGCCACAAGACCATCCAAAGCCTGAATGGTGTGAGTCCACAAGCCACTGGATTAAGTCTATAAGGAGGACACAGGACATCAGATGGGACAGTATAGCCAGCGATGGGATACTAGACCCAACTGATCGTAGGTGTACTCCAGTGCAGCAGGAAGTGCAGTAACCAGACTTAAAGAATTCAGGAAGATGTAAGTTTCAGTGCTACAAGAGAAGGACAAATGCCCTTAATGAAACCCAGTTGCGTATTATGCAGAGGAGCTGGGATACCGAGCTGCATGACTCCATTGTCTGGCTCTAGGACATCAGGACAAAAGTTTAGTTTTGTCCAAGAATACAATCCAATAGACTAAGAGGCTGGATCCTGGACAAAGTGAACCAACAGCTCCTTCAGTGAGACAGGGAACAGAATATCAGACTATACAGCTAAGGTCTGGTCAGGCTGGACACCTCCCATCTTCCTAGACTTGAAAGTATGCCAAGCCCATGACCAGAATCCCAGTGACATTTGAAGAAACAGAGGGAAGCAGTAGGGTACTTCCCTTTGCAAGGTCTTCTCCCCACCCCGCTCTCCCTTTCCTCCTCCCCA